TAGATCTTTCCCATCAATGTTTTATTTTTCTAACAGTTTGATTACTTCTTCCTGTTTCACACAGTCAAATGCTTGTGTATAGTCTATGACGCATAAGAACAAATCAGTCTTTACATCTATAGCTCTTTCTGACAATTTCCTTAGGATGTATTTGACATTGTTTGTACCTTTTCCTTCTACAAATCCACATTGTTCATCGCTGATTTCTGGTTTAATTGTGTTTCTTACTTTTCTATTGGCAGGGGAAGACACAGCCACACAAATGATAAGTTAGTATGAACAGTTAGTAGTAGAACAGCCATCTACAGAGTCAATGAACTCTGAAATGTTAGAAGCGCCATTGTCAGCGAGCAAAGGTTAGCTGGTTGACTATTTCTATCATACATTTATAGTGGCAGAACCTAAGGGACAACGAACAAAGATACACTAGATTTCATGGGGGTTTACTATCCAATTATGCAAAGTGGTTTGGAAACTAACATAACCACCAACCATCAAAAATTTTTAATTGTTCCTACAACTTGCTTTTGACACTGATCATCGTTTAGTTACTAATTTTTGAGTAACTTGAATTAAAAACTTCCAGGAAAACATAGCAACATTATTCTATCCTATGATGAAATCCTAGCTTTCGTTCACACATTTAAGTGTTACAAACGACGGGAGGGGAAACAAATGTGTAGCAAGTCAATGACCCGCAGAGCGCTTAGGTCAACCAAGCCTTTTTTTGTGGTGCACGCCGGACACAAAGATCACGATAGAAAACTAATCACCTGTGAAATAAGATGTTTGAGATGGCTGTGAATAAAACCAGAAGAGATCGAGCGAGAAACGGCGTGATCACGAGAACTGTTGGAACAACACCTAACGTCAAATTTACCGATATTTTGAGAAAGACGGTCGCAGGGGCTGTGTCCCAATCGACGGTTGCTGCGTCCTCGTCTTTCTCGTTATCCTTTTGTAAGATGGCAAGATAACCTTCAACTCCGACAGGTGAAAAGACTTGAAGTGTATAGAAAGAAGTCACAAATGCTACAGCACAGAGGACGCCTACTGGAGAGCTAGTTGGTCAGATAACTGGTTGACAAGAGTTGGTCAGACAACGTGCAGTAGGGACGAATAGTTTATAAAACAACTTCTCTGAAGGATAGTGGACATAACGTGTAAAGGTACAGTCACTTATGTCGCCTCTGGCAGACGACCTGAAGAAACAGATAGTCGTCCAGCTAATGGAAGGGACGTATCAAAGATTAAACAGGTAACCTGTCTTTCAAAATCGTTCATTTAGTTTGTGAAAATTCGTCTAGTACTTTATGGTACGATAAGACGCACATGAGTATGGGAAACAGTTTCGTCGGACAGCAAGTTCAATAGCCAATTGTTGGCTAGAGGGACACAACAGCCTCCGTGAAGAAAAGTTGACAAGACTTGTAACTGTATAGTCACTTATGACGCAACTAAACAAACGACCCTCGGAAACAGCCGGTCAGACTGCTAGTTAAGCGGACGACTCATAGGTCAGACAGAAAGACTATCTTTCGAAATCATCGCTTTCGGTTTGTGAAAATTTGCAGTCATGTATGGTACCACCAGCGGGCGACTATAGGACACAGTTTCGTCGGACAGCCCGTCGATGGGACGCTTTGTTGGTTAGCCGGAGACGACAGCCTCGTTGAAGAACAATCAACAAACATTTTGTGTTTACAGTAAGACAACATTTCATGTAACACAACCTGGTAGCCGACCCAGGTAACAGATGGTTGGACATCTAGTTTCAAGGGTGACTAGTTGGTTATCCGAGTTTGCGCAAATACAGAAGAAAGAAAAGACCTGGAGCCTCTTAAAGTGGTCTAGTGGTAAAAGACAGCGATCGTTTTAAGGCGTGTCAAGAAAAGTGGGACTGTTTTGAAGCAACCTGACATGTCCAGCGAAACAAAACGTGTTAGTTAGAATAGTGATAATTTTGTCACAATGTTGTTTTACGGTTTGTAGAAGTCGCCTTGTATTGTAAAAGTAGCTCTCTCGTTTCTAAAAGTTGCCTGGTATTTTCTACAAGTCACTCTCATGTTTCTAAAAGTCGCCTTGTGTTTTCTTCGAGAAAGACATTGAACAACTTAAGATGTCCCAAAGGCTAAAGGCATTGAACGCTTTAAGGTGACCTAGGAATAGTGGCTGACCTTACTAAAGAACTTCCATTAACGACGTAGCAAGATCAGTGAGCAATTTATAAAGGTTCTGTATCAGAGTTGACTGAAAGCACATGAGATAAAAGGTTATGGATAGACATGACTTACAACGCCAAATTACATGGACTATGGAAGATCATCTGTGTCAAAATTGATTGAAAGCACACGAGACGCAATTGGGCGCACTGGGCATATTGAAAGAGCGTCCTAAGTTTTTACAGATCAATGGGCACCAGGTGAGTAATGTGGTCAGCATAACGCCAGCCGTCTTTTCTCACCAGGACAGCCATTCTGGTAACCATTTTAGGCTGGGTCGACCTGCGACGCCCCGTAACACCTTTTAAAAATCCCTGCAGTCAGCAGTGGGTTTCCACAGCGGTACGTCGGAATTACGAGTCGAGCTCACAACGTCTAAGCCACCGACGCCGCCTAAAAGAAACTAAGTGGTATTTAATTGTGCCTTTTGACAACGATATAATACAGACAAATCTATTTCATGTAGAAAGTTATCTGTAGAACGTCACTCTCATCATGGTCTGCCTGAAAGAAACTTGGTCTCTCACACACTCTACTGCTTCGGGCACTTTCATATTTAAGCAGTGACTTATATCCTGTGTCCATCTTCGTTTTGGTCAGCACCTGCTCTCCTTCCTCGTGCCATGCCTTTTACTATTTTTTGTTCTAATCCGCAATGAAGTTTTATGTGACCAAACTATTTCAGCTTCTGAGGCAAGATGCTGTTTTGTAGCCAGTCTTCCTTGATGTTCAGATCTTTGCAAATGTCAGTATTTTTGTATTTCTTTGCAAATGGTATTTTAAGAAACTTCCAATAGCATTTCAAAGATTATGACATTTTCAAATTTGTCATCATTTATTTGTGCTTGTGTGTGTGTTTATGTGAGAGAGAACCAAGGAACAAACGAACAAATGAACTTTATTTTCAAAGGGTCACAAATTAGGCACGCAGACCCGTTTTACGTTCAGCCCTTCCTAACACCCGTCTTTCACACTGTAGCTGTATTTTGTCGATAAGCATTTTAAATTCATATGATAATATGCATATTATAAATATTTAAAAAATATTTTTTTAAGCACAACAGCATGGGTGTTAAAATGCATACACACACACCCACCCACTCACTTAAACACACCCACACACCTTTACACACACATAAACACACCCCCATTCACCCACCTATATAACTACAAACCCACACAGACAAGCACATTCCAAACACATATAAACATACAGATATACACACACAGACGCACTCATAGAAACAAATGCAGGCACACACACACACACAGACAGACATACGCGCACATACCCAGTCACAAACGCAGATACACAAACACATGCACACACATGCGACACGCACACACAAACCGTCATACACACACGCAGACACACACAGACACATATGAACAAACACACGCAGACACAAACACACACACAGATACACGCACACAGACACACTCAGAGACACACAAACACACACAATCGCAGACATACACACGCTGATGCTTACGCAGACACATACACACAGACATGCACACACAGAAGCATAGGCAGACATTCATACACACAGGTACACGCACAGATACACGCAGACACACATACACACACATTTAGACACACCTAGAGACACTACATATAGAAATACACACAGGCAAACACAGAGACATATACGCACAGACACACACAGAGACATAGACAGATACATATACACAGAGACGCGCATATATACGGGCATTCACGCAGACACACATACACACACATTACGACACACCTAGAGACACTACACATAGAAATACACACAGGCAAACACAGAGACATATACGCACAGACACACACAGAGACATACACAGATATATATATACACAGAGACGCGCATATATACAGGCATTCACGCAGACACACATACACACACAGGCACATACAAGACACACGCACAAACACAACAAAGACACACATACACACCCATGTAGAAAAACCTAGAGACACTACACACAGCGATACACACAGACAAACACACACAGACATATACACACAGACACACACAGACATACACAGATATATACACACAGAGACGAGCACATACAAGACACACATTTACAAACACACACGCAGGCAAACACACGCACAGACACATGTAGACACACAGATACACACACAGATACACACACACAGATACACATACAGGCACATAAAAATAGTCCTACACGCAGACACACACGCACAAACACACACATTATACAAACAAACAGAGAGAGAGAGAGAGAGAGAGAGAGAGAGAGAGAGAGAGAGAGAGAGAGAGAGAGAGAAAGAGAGAGGCAACCAGTTCTGTCTGCTGTTTTTGTTCTCATTAAATTTAACCACAGGATGGGCATGTGTATCAACTACGAATTATAAAGTTGAGCGTCTTGAAAAAGTCACACCTTAGAAGATAGTGACATGAAAACATCTAAAATAGCATTGCTTGTCTTTGAGCCAAATTGCTTTTTAAATCCTATAAATTATAATGTACTAGCTTAAATTGCCTTCCGGTCGTGTAGAGTTATTGATTATAATCACCTAGCTTCAAACGGTGTCAAGAATAAATTATTACATAATAGGTCCAAGCACTTAACGCTCGCCATTGGCTTTTGAATTACAAGGGATGAAATCAGTGTGGATTGCTCATCAGAAATGTATTTAAGATTGTAATCGTACAATTTTTTTAGATGCATGAATCTTCAAGAGGGCAGACTGAAGCCTCGTGGTTCTCTGTCATCTGCAAGTCTTAGCCGGAACCATCACAAACTTCTTTGAGAATGGTATGTCTTACTTTATATGCTACTGACGCAATATGTGTCATTTGGGAGGTGCTGTAGGGCAGTGACTTGTCTCCTGGCTGAGTGTATTGGGTTCAAAATATCTGAAGACGGATTTTAAAATAAGTGATATGTATTTTTCATTTCTTTTTTCTTTCACCTGCTGTAAACTCCAAAAGATAGTTATGTTTGTTCATTCCATTCGGAACCTATTCCAGATCTTGAGCTCTGCTTGCACATCTGTTTTACAGATCAGCCAAATTGTCTTTCGGTGTCTCTCGCTCAGACGTTGCGAATGCGCATCATGTTGCCCGGGTGCTGGGTTCGATCCTAGCTGCAAGCGATTTAACAGACAGACCGCTGGCCCTGCAGAGACCAGTGGCAAACTGCTAAAAGTAAAATATACCTTGAAACAACACAACTGTCATAAGATGCTGGTGTTGATTCGCCAACGTTTTGTGTAAGATACTTATCTAACTTTATTTTTTTTTTTAATGTGTGTAAACTCTTGGTTCCTTGCGACTTAAGGAGACATACCCTGATTTTCTCCACAAACTTGTTAGGGGGAAAGGTTTTTTTTTTTTCCACCCACCCCCCCCCCCTTTTTTTTTTCCCCAACACACACACACACACACACACACACACACACACACACACGTTTCGCACCAGAACGCACAGCGGGAAATAAGTAATGACACATGAACACGTGTTTGTCACACGGACTGTATAATGCTAGATAAAATGTGTGTAAAGAACAACCAGTACTAGTTGAGTCGAGTGGACAACATCATGCCGGACGCTTTTACTTTCTAACGCCTAACCTGGTACATATAGCAGGCTGAGTCTACAGCTGCGCTAAAGGCTCTTTTAATCGAAAAACCTGCTTTGACGCGGAATTAAACCCCATACATTTGGGGCAAGAGACGAGCACATAATCATTACGATACAGCATTCCTATTTCCAAGTCAATTCATTCTAAAACGAGTGCTAGGAAATGCCTGGAAAGAAAAGCGGTCGGTGTGATGTTGATTAAAACTTTACTATAGTAGCCGTCTTAAAAAATTCTAGCTGCTTCTTCCACTCTTTCTTTTTTTTTTCTTCTTCTTCTTCTTCTTCTTCTTCTTCTTCTTCTTCTTCTTCTTCTTCTTCTTCTTCTTCTTCTTCTTCTTCTTCTTCTTCTTCTTCTTCTTCTTCTTCTTCTTCTTCTTCTTCTTCTTTTTCTTCTTCTTCTTCTTCTTCTTCTTATTATTATTATTATTATTATTTTAATTATTATTATTATTATTATTTTAATTATTATTATTATTATTATTATTTTAATTATTATTATTATTATTATTATTATTTTAATTATTATTATTATTATTATTATTTTAATTATTATTATTATTATTATTATTATTATTACTTTTCTTTTTCTTTTTCTTCTTTTTTCTTCTTTTTCTTTTTTCTTCTTCTTCTTCTTCTTCTTCTTCTTCTTCTTCTTCTTCTTCTTCTTCTTCTTCTTCTTCTTCTTCTTCTTCTTTTCTTCTTCTTCTTTTTCAAGATTCGACCATCGTCTTTTTTAGTGGAACACCTGGGTGCAGTCTAACGAGATGACCAAATTTATCTTCTGGTTCTCAGTGTCATTGGCTAACACTTTTGATGTCAAATAGCATCAATGCTCACTTGACCACCAGTAGTCTGTCTGATGGTATCAATGCTCACTTGACCACTAGCAGTCTGTCTGATAGCCTAATGCTCACTTGACCATCTAGGATGGTTTAAGGTGGTTAATCCACTATAGAGGGGTGGGCAAGAGATTGTGAGAGATGGAGTGGTTGAATGGAGAGCCAGAGGGAGAGATGGTATAATTAAGAAAACGAAAAGTTGTCCAGTTTATCACAACATAGTAAGCTGATGTTTGTGCAGGAATACATGTTTAGATGACAGTCGACAGTCGGTGTAATATAAAAAGACTATGCTCAAATAATTAATGTTCTATAGATTTGCTGACAGATATTTTTCTACTTGTTTTCTTCATTGCTTCCTTAGCTGTGCGTTGTCCTTTTCCTGGCACTGACGGCCCATTCTGGTATGTTTATGTTTGATTACCTGCGTTTGTGTGTGTGTGTGTGTGTGTGTGTGTGTGTGTGTGTGGATAAAGTAACAAGAATCCCATAGGGCAGCATCTACAGCAGGAGTCCACCGTTTATAAGTAGACGATTGTTTCGGCCCATTATCTCCCTAGACAATCTTGGAAGGTGCTGCACTTTTTCAGACGTTCAGACAAAAAACGAGACGAAATTGTGACTTTGCAACAAGCATTGTGAGATTAGGTGGTAACTAACTTGGCTGTGGTTGCTATATTTTAATTACTTCAATGCTAGGCACTGATTGTTGAGGATATTCAATATTTGTTGCCAGTATACTACAGCCTAATCTGGAACTGTGTGTTTGGTCCCTGAGCAACCTTTTTTTTTTTTTTTTAAGGAGTGACGAACGATGCGGTAAAGAAAGGCGAATGGTTGAAAAATGTGATATTTTTTTCTAAGCATAATTTCTGTATTGTTGCTTTACCTGCATCTGCTAAACGTCTTTGAGATCCAAAAGATGGCGGTAAAATTGAAGATAAAATCATTGATGATTATAAGGGACGTTGGTACGCATTAGGACTAACAATGTGGACAATTGAGGTGTGTTAGTTCACTGATTGTTTATAACGTCATTGATGCCGAGATGGACTGTGCTTTCTTTGAACATTATGGTTCGGATTAATTCGGCGCAATGTCGTTGACGCACTATTGATATCTGCATCCGGTAAAGGACGGTTAGGCACTGTCTCGTTATCTGTTGACATCCGGTCACTGTAAGAGAATCACCAATAATAAGATGTGACACTGAGCATTGCAGACTTTAAAAAAAAAAAAAGCATCTCAATGATGGGAATCACATAGATGTAAAACCTGGAAACTCTGTTTAAACCCACATTCCTAATTATATTGTATTTTTAGTGACTGCAAACGTTTTGAAATCAATTATTAGCGCACCGTAATTAAATTGTGTGCAACTTTTACAAAATTATTGGACGTCGCTTAGTGCAGCAATCTGGTAATCTGGTAATCCTAGTTTCAGCATCATAGCAAACGGGTCACCCCATTGTTGCTCCGCTCCTGTGCCAACGAAAAACACTCGTAGCTCACAGTGTCACACCATGCACTCAACTCAGAAACTGGGTGACGAAACTATATCCTTCCAGTCTACAAATGGAGCAAAAATGCAACGGCCACCGCCTGGCAGAACTGCCACGGCTTTAAAAAAAAAAAAAAGTGGCCGTGCCTAGCGTCCACTGTGACTTGAAGCATTTTGTGAGGGGTTAACAAATGGTCACCCCAGCAGTACCCTCACTATTAGCTGGGAAAGGGACTTAGGACATTACATCCACCAGCATGCGTCGCCCCTACAACGACCTGACTGCCTTCGTTAACGACTGTTCACCCAACAGCCATGCAGTTCTTTGGCACGAAGGAGACACCTTGAACTTGGGTTTCGGAATGCCGACTTCCTACAAAATGTTATTTTGTGTTTTGTTATCACAATCGACGTCACTGCACATTGGGCATACCCATGCGTGCGCAGTCCTCCGAAGCAGCAGCCACTCCAAAGTACTTCTACTAATTGTCCCCATGAGAAGTTGGTTATATTGTCTCCTTTCTCGGCCTCGCAGACGGCAAAGACGTGCTTCACCATGCTTAACTCCCATGTCACGCAATCGTGTTAGTGTCAGGGATTCGATATTATCACTTAGTGCAGCAAAGCCTTGCATATGATGTCACAACGTCTAGTCTGAGAATGGAAGTGGAGGCAATCTCTGCTGCCTTCCGCTGGCCTGAGAATCAGCTGTACACCATGCCGTGATTGTAACTGACTAACAGAGCTTGTTGAGAAAGGTGAAGGCATGCTTCGTGCAGGGTGGAAAAAATCACTTCAGAGGTCCCGGGTAGTTAGCACCTTTAGATATTTTTTTTTTTTAAGGTCATGTTTCAAGCCTCATGTAAATGCTAATTTAGAATATCATTGCTGTTAAATGTCTTGTTCATGCCGTTATGCATATTGGGCTTACAGTAAATCCCTTTTAAGGCCCTTAGCGCATTGGGCATATAGAACGAGCATCCATATTTTTACAGACCAGTCAATGTAGGTCGGAAATGTTGGTTACCAATAATTGGGCAAGCAGGACTAGATCTAAATTTTATAGACCAATCGGCACTTTGTAGGTGATAATATGGTCAGCACCGAATCGGCCGCCTCTACTTCACTTACTTCACAGTTCTTTACCTTGTACCATTGAAGGATAGTTCGACCTTTGAGCCAAGGTTATACTGGAAAAGAACAATCCAGCAGCATACCGTTGTGAGCCTACGCTCTTTGAACCTGCAGACGAGCCTCCAACCCATACACACTTCGGCTTCCTGTGTCCGTTAGAACATGTTTTTACAAATATTTCACTGAGGGATTTGTTTCAGTTCTGGCTGAGTGCACTGAGGGCTGGTTACAGTTCGAAGATTTATGTGTCAACTTCAACATGCCCTTCCTGACATGGGATGATGCTTTGGTATGCAAAAGTTTTATGCTGAAATTGTGATTTTAGCAGTAGCGGTTTTTTTTTTTTTTAAGCGGCAGTTCTCAACGTTTGTTAAGGTTGACCTCGCATGCTACATAGGGCACGTTTTAATATATATCGATATGAATACTGAAATGTTTAAAAACAACAAAACAAAACAAAAATGTGGCTAAACCATTTCTTGAGCCCTCGGAAATATGGTAAAAAAATGGGGGGGGGGGGGAGAGGGGTAAAGGACCCTTTTCCACACCTTCAGATGTATAATGAGTATAGGACTAGACCTATAATATATAGACAAATCAGCACTTAGTGGGTGATGTAGTCAACATCTCTCCGGCCGCCTTTACTTCTCATGGCTCTACCTGATACCCACTCAAGACTGGGTCGAACTGGGAGCCGAAGACATTTTTGGGGGAACAAATGGTCTGGCTCTGTCATGGCCCGAACCCACAACCTTCTGACTTCAGTGATATATTAACCCATTTGCCATAATGTTGACTCCTACTCACTGGGTTCTGAAGAGTTAATTTTTTTTCAAGCAATTGAGACACAGACATGCCTAAGTTAAAGTATGTTAAAGTTTATCGCACTGTGTTTTTCGCAAGGTCTTTCTCCGCAGAAAGGCTAGCCGCATGTCCATTGTGACGCATAAAGCAGAATTCCCTAACTCCGGTGACGATCCCCGAGGTTTAAAAAAAATTGCACACGCGCACAGAATGACACAGCCGTAGATCAGATCCACTACCTTCAGAGCACAAACAAACGGTGTGACCCCTTCGCCTCTCGGATGTTTGTTGCCAGACTGCCATTACTCCCTGTATGTACCACTCAGCGTTGCTGGCTCTGTCGACATCGAGTGTGCGGCTAGAAAAACAAGACCCTCAACCTTGCCGATTGTTCGAAATCAGGCCTCTCACTTATGAGCCCTGCAGTCTTATCCGTTTTGCGAGCCTCTCTTCTTTGACTGTGCATGAAATAATTACATTCAGTAAAGCACTCCCCGAACCAGTGGCTACTGAATATATGATGTTATAACAATCCACCCTATCACGCCGGCCGTTTTTACTTCCCCAGTCATTACCTGGTACTAATGTTTTACCCTGAGTAGACCTGGCAGCTAAGATCAAGATGAAAAATATTGTGATTGTTCTAATTCATTCTCAGCCATCACCAGCTCAAACTTTGGTGGGCATTTCTAGATTTTTGAACACGTTTGGACTGTAGCCGTGTCCAGAATTTCAGTTTTACGTACACACCCATTCTACAGATCTAGCTTATTTGTGTGCAGTCTGTTGGCTCCTAGACTCCAAGGAAGATACATGCCGACTTTGAAGGACTTAGCCCTATTTAGTTGACAGATACAATTTGCTTGTTAATGGGCGAGTGAGTCTACCCTCCATGCCCCTACCCCTACTTAGTTGACAGATACAATTTGCTTGTTAAGGGGCGAGTGAGTCTACCCTCCTGACCCCTACCCCAATGAGGCCCTGAACCCTTCACAGGAAAATCTTGAGGCTGAACGTAAGGTAATCGGGCCAGCCGATAAGTACCTAGCCACTACACTACCATTGCTCCCGTTGACTAATACAGGAGTTCACTAAATGCGTGCCTTGGACTGAAGAAGTTAACCCAACTTCGTTTATTAATTAACAGGAAGTTTGTCGTGCATACGGGGCCATACTGGTACAAGACAACAGCCAAGAGAAACACGACTGGCTTGTTGAACAGATGAAGTCTAGAGGAAGTAAGTTTTGGTTTAGTGCAATTAGAAGGGCAGACAACCACACAAACATTTTAGGTTGAGGGGTGGTTGAACAGATGAAGTCTAGAGGAAGTAAACTTTGATTTAGTGCAATAAGCATGCAGACAACCAAACAAGCATTTCAGGTGGAGGGGTGGTTGAACAGATGAATTCTAGAGAAAGTAAGCTTTTATTTAGTGCAATAAGAAGGGCAGACAACCACACAAACATTTCAGGTGGAGGGGTGGTTGAACAGATGAAGTCTAGAGGAAGTAAACTTTGATTTAGTGCAATAAGAAGGGCAGACAACCGCACATACATTTCAGGTGGAGGGGTGGTTGGACGGAAGCGCTCAACCTCCTTATACATATTCTAAAAAGGGGGAGGATGATGTTCCAGGCTTCTAAGCCTGTTAGAGTAAATAATAGCGATAATGATAATAATAATAATAGTCTTCTTCTTCTTCGCATTCACCAGCTGTACACTCTGGTGGAAAGTTCTAGTTGTTCGTCTACTTCTGAACTGCGGTCCTGCTCCAAAACCTGAGTGTTGCGTCTGCATCAGTTTTACAGATAATAATAGTAATACTTAGTATTATTGTTAAATACGGAAAAAAAATTGATATCCTATTTCAGATATTGTGCAATGTATGAATACAGAATTCCAATTCATGGTTCGGGAGTAAGGTTAACTAAACTGCATTACAGATTGTTGGCGTCCTAGCTAGCAAATCTTTAATGTTGCAGAGCCACTGAATGTAATGTGTGTGTGTGAGTGTGTGTGTGAGTGTGTGTGTGTGTTTGTGTGTGCGTATGGTAGTCCCTTAGGCAAGGATCATATGGTGAAAGGTATACCATGTTATTCTTCAAATGTTCCGCGAAAGCCAGTACTACTTTCTTTGGTTTAGAATTTTGTTGAAAGGGGGTTTTTTAATCACTGTTCCAGTGGTGAGACACACGACTACTTCCATCTCAACCCTGCCTGTTAGAGGATCAGTGTCCCCTAGCACCATATCCAATATTATATTTCAGTTTCAATATAAGTGACAGTTTTCTTAGGTTGGTGAGCTTGAAAACACAGAGGTAGAACATTTTACCAGATGGTTACATGCACAGTTGGAAGATTTCCTAGGAATGTAAAAACCAAACAGGAGGTGATAATTCAACAATTTATTGGAACGTCATTTGCTTGTTATGGATATGTAACTGATAAGGACACTGCTTAGTTACCACATACTGAATGAGTGATTACAAAAAATATTCGAAGCGTCAACAATAGAACTGTACAGCCCCGACCCCTGCATCCTAAGTTAAAATAAAAGATTCAAATGTTTAAAGTTACCATTTCATCAGACGAACCTTCGGCAATTAGACAAGTAGTCTTGGGAGAGAGAGAGAGAGAGAGAGAGAGAGAGAGAGAGAGAGAGAGAGAGATATGTTGTATTTAAGTGGAATTAATTCAGTTTTCATCTTTCATCTTATGCTGACATTGACTAGATAGTAAGACATGAGACGAGATTATGCAGTATATTGTTTGTGCTCTCGTTATTTAAAAAGAAATAACACTCGATGATCAATGAGTGTGAATGCCAAGATGTCTAGAAGGTCTCGTCTGATCCCGAAAGATTTAATGAGAAGTCGGACTACATCATATGAAACTGCAATAGGGATGGAAATAGCCACTTGATTCTTTCTTGTATGTTGTCGTTTCTGAACATTTGAAGCCTCTGACGCCTGACATTCCGATAAACCGCGACGAACAGTTTGAAAGTGACGCCTGATAACCTGTATCTAAGTGAGGAAGAACTGCGCAGTGCGTGTCTCTCTCTCTCTCTCTCTCTCTCTCTCTCTCTCTCTCTCTCTCTCTCTCTCTCTCTCTCTCTCTCTCTCTCTCTCTCTCTCTCTTGTGTGTGCCTATCTTGGTGGACTTTCAGGACAATGTCATCAACACGACTGAAATTATCTCTGGTACAGTGGATAAACAATGCGTCGGGAGTCTCCTGTCTTGCTCGAAGCTCAAATGAGCGTGCTGAGAATCGGCTTTAAGTCGCTTGATTCATAAAATGTTTCATCCACACCATCCGTTGAATCCAGTCTTTCGTAAGATGGGAAGAATTACAAACAACTTAAAATAGAAAGAACATTGTTGGTTAAAAAGCAGATGGGCAACGCCGTCTTCTTTTACAGAGATGGACAAAGCTGTTTCCTGGGGGGTGGATGAGGGTGGGCGGAAGCCTATCGGATAATGTGAGCTTCTAGAAGCCACATGAGGTAGCTGGGTGACAGAAATAGCACACTGGTGGTATACTGCCATAAACATGGATAAAGTCATGCAAAACTACCATCTGACATAGTACAAGGGTAAAAGTAATACTTTAACAGCTATATATATTTTTTTAAGTGACACATGCAAAGATATGATTTTACAGAACGATGATTAAAAACATCATCATCATCATCCCGTAACAGTGTGTGTCGTTGAGTCACCAGTTTCTGTTGACTGTCTGATCAGCTCTCTCAACTTTTGACGGTCAGTTGCGAAGGACTTCACGGTTGCATACCTGAGGCCTGTCCAGTCAGTCCGATTCTGTAAACAGGTCTTTCTTGGTCTGCCTCTTTTCCTTTTTCCCTCGACTGAGCCCTAAATTTTTTTATTATTATTATTATTTTTTGAGCCCTTTAGATCTTATTACATGTCTATACTATTAAATTGTTCGGGTTTTTAATGTAGTCAAAAGAGGTTTAAAGTTACTAATGTGCTATTTATAATTAAATGACGAACCTCTTCCTTTATAATGTGGTCTCTGTATGATATGCCAAGAATTTTTCTAAAACATCGCATTTCTAATGCTTGTATCTTTCTTTCGAGTTCAGCTGTTAAGGCCCACGTTTTACAGCCATATGTAAATGTACTAATTGCAAGTGCTCTGAGCAACCGAATCTTAGTTTTGCATGAAGTGTTTTTGGATCTCAATAATATTTCCTGCTTGACAAGGACTGATGTTGTCTGGGCAACCCTAGACATGATTTTGGGGTCAAGACCAGGTCACTTAAAACAGATGCTACATATTTGAACTGATTAACTTGTTCTAATTAGGGACCTTTAAGGTGTATTGGTAAAGTTATACCAGCTGGATTATTAATAATTATTTTTGGGGGGTTTTATTCCTGCCTTTATTTCCATGCCATACTTGGTCGATGTTTCATCGAGCAGATGTACAAGCTCGACTTGTTCTCTTTCCTCTCCGGCCGACCCCATTGATGTCATCTGCAAACCTGTAGTTTGTGTTAGTTCGACCTCCTATGCCAACTGTTCCATGATGTTGTTCTAGGGCATCAGTCATAATTATTTCTGAGAGGATGTTAAACAGTGTTGGAGAGAGGATGCCACCCTAATGGACTCCTACTGTTGTTCGGAACGGCTTCCTATGTGTTCGTTCAGCATGAGAACAACATAGAATGTTTTTTTTTTTTTTAAGCATTAAGATCACTTCACAAGTAAACTCATTATTTGCCAAAGAAGGCGACAATCTACTTTCATTGATCACATTGTGAGAACGATAGAACGGGAGTATGTCATAATGAGATGAGAAATGAAGAAATGAGATACAGAGGAAGATCAAACGAGATTTCTTTGGACAGTCTGACATTATGATACAGAGAAAAATAGTATCAGAAAGCTTTTTAGCACACAAGACAGAAGTCCTCGTTAAGACATGACAGCCAACACTAAATGGCATGAATTATCAAGTTAAGAAAATATTAATACAGAATACTGTACGTTTCTCAGTCCTCAAGCTTTGGACTGGAGGTCGTAGAGACAGTTCGGGAGTGTGGAAATGGGTGCAGAGCAACGAAACATTTAGTTACGTCACATGGTACCCGGGAGAACCAAACTACAGTAAGCACTGGTGGTGTGGTGTGATTGTCTCTGCTTCTTTAAGTCCCTGTCTTGAGTGAGCTAGTCTCTAAAGATTGTATTTGTTACATATCATTTAAAAGGTAGCTTTTTTTTCCCTCTTATCTGTATGTTACTTCTGCTACTTTGATTCTCATTTTCTGCTCCTTCTTGTGCTATTTCTGATCCTTAGCATTTTTTTTTTTTATTCATGTGTTATTTCTGCTTGTTCCAGATTAATTACTGCTTCTTCGCTTGTTATCTATGTCTTGTATTGTGTGTGTGTGTGTCTGTTTGTTTTTAAGTTGTGTATTATTCACCCCTATCTTATTTCTGCTTCTTCCTTTACTATCTATGTGTACTTGTGAAAAACGCACAGCAGAAATCACACAGTTTACAGAAAACTAAGTGAAGACAACTAAATTGAAAGATATTGCAAGAACAGATCAATCAACCAAAATATGCTCTGAAAACAGCAACAACACACCATAAAATCAAATGTGTTATCATAATATCATCCACAGAAAAAAAAATTTAAGCAGAGATTAAACAAAGATGAAATAAAGCAAAACAAATAATTGGACAGATGACACCAACTGTCAAAAATACTTTGGCAGAGAGTATATAAGGATTTAAAAAAAAAAAAAAAGGGCAGATAACAGGAAAAACAAAACTAACTTGTTTGGTTAACGTTCTGGTTGTTTAGTGGCTGGCGGTCGATGTATATGATGCTGGAAATTTTGTGTAAGATTTTCTTATATATATATATATATATATATATATATATATATATATATATATATATATATATATATATATATATATATATAATTTATACCTATCTGTTTTTTTTTTAGTAGATCATTATCCTTGATTTCTGTAGCCTTTTAGACAGACGTAGAATTAGTTGTCTTCTGCTAAATTTCTGCAACCCTTTTTGTTTTCTGTTGTGTGTCTTCACAATTACACTTGGATTTAATTTTACAGGGATACATCTGTGGCAGTTTACAACTATATAAAGGTACAGTTATACACGGACAATTTTTGTTTAAAAGAACAGGAAAACGGTCTTTAGTAACAAGTTTTTTTTTTTTTTTTTTTTTATCTATCTTTACAAATATGCGTAGACGTGCCTAGAAAACCAGCATAATTAACACAGAGAGTAGTGTTGTGTTTTAGAATACTGTATCATTATGTTGTAGCAAGATCACTGATAGAAATTCGCTTGAAATTTGCCAAGGCATGTATTGGTTTTGTTAACCATAAGTCATCCAGTGCAGGTAAACTGGTTTCTAACAACGTCAATGGTCTCAGATTAGCACCGATATTAATTGGCTTTGGTCTTTCAATCGAAGTTAGGCCAACTCAGGTATTTGATCAACAATTAACCTTACAGTTGGGCTTACGTCTTCTACATTAATGTTGTGCAATATGACTGACCTGTCGAATTAGCCTGCGCTTCCCGTTGGTACATCTGGTCTACTGTTTTCGCTGACAGTCTATTTTTTCCCCCACAAAGTTTACATTCCTACAATTTGTTAGAAATGTTACTAATTTTACCAATTGTTTTTCATTCTCGTGACATCTTTCAAACATGATTAGCCTATCAAAGTGTTTCTCTAGTCGAAAACAAAGACTCCCGACCCCTCCCCCCCCCCCCCTTTCTGCCACCGCCACATCTGACTGTCACTTTCGTAACTTTTTCGTACACTATGTAACTTGTAAAGTCTGTCACTTTGACATATGCCTAGCACGTATTGTCCCCGTGTAGAAACGCTTTGGGTCAGGGACGATATACATGGCGCAGCTGTAAGGTCCTCGAGTGGGTCGATATTCTGGACAAAGCCAAGGTGAGGGTCAATGTCCGAGCCAGCCCCAACGTCCCTCCCATGCGCTTCTCCAAAGCTGGGCAGATTTATAAAGATACATTTTTAAAAGTCCCATGTACTCCATTCATGGTCGACTGTACAAGGGACTGGCCACCTCTGATCTACCTGTTTGAGAAATATCCCGTATCAATTCGAAAGACTGGTCTGAGGCCAGACATGGTTTTGCATTCTGCGGCAGAATGTTAGCTTGTCCTGATGCGGCCAAGCATGTCGTATGAGCCGCGAATCAAAGACAACCACGTGTACAAGCTCGAGAAACACAGCTATCTGATAGAGCGTTGAAAGGTACACAGTAAAATTCTGTAGGTAGGCGCAAAAGGGCTAATCTCCACCTCCACATACACTGTACTGAAGCAGCTGGGCTTTACGAGCGTAAACGGGCACTAAGACAACTGAGTATCACACATATAGCACTGCTATCACATAAACATAAACATAAACATATACAAGAGAAAAGTAACAGACTACACAGCACAGCAGAAATGGTGGGACTGGGAATAAATACAAACAAAACTAAGAACATGACAAACAGTCCAAACCAACAACCAGTGACCATAAGTAACCAATCACTTGAAAATGTAGAACATTTCACATATCTTGGCAGTGTGGTGTCCCTACTGGGAGGGACAGAGGAAGACATACAGTCACGCCTGAAAAAAGCTAGAGCTGCTTTTGGAAGGATGAGGCAAATCTGGAAATCCAACAATTACTGCAGAGGAACAAAACTCCGACTCTACAAGAGCATTATTTTGCTAGTTCTTTTTTATGGAGCGGAATGCTGGAGAATGACCAAAAAGGATGCACACAAGCTGTCCACCTTCCACCACACATGTCTACGTAGAATTATCAAAATTTTCTGGCCAGATACAATCTCAAACACTCAACTACTTCAAGTCACAAACCAAGAAACTTTAGACAGTATGATAACTAAGAGAAGATGGAAATGGCTTGGCCACGTTGTGAGAATGAATCCTGATATACCTGCCAAAACAGCTCTCACATGGACACCAGAGGGAAAGAGAAAACAGGGGCGCCCAAAAACAACATGGAGACGAACGATGGAAAGTGACCTGAGTTCCGCATCTTTGACATGGAAAACTGCACTGAAGTTTGCACAGGACAGGAAAGCATGGAAAGTCCTCTATGAAGCCTCATGTGCCACTAGGCATAACGAGAACTGATGATGAAGACAACTGACTGAAGCTGCTGAAATAGCGAGCTGGTTACGGACACAACGCAATGACGTCGGGGATAGACGTCGGTAGACTTGTCCGAGCCTTTAATGGAAGGAAGCTTTTAAATCCAAAAAGTCAACGTCTGTCCCTAAATCATCATCATCATCATCATCATCATCATTATCATCATCATCATTATCATCATCATCATCATCATCAAGTGCCTTGCCGAGTGGCGTGGGTTATCATGCCTTTCCCTATATTGCGATCCGCAGCTGAGTTTACCAGTACGTTTGTTGACACCCCTCCATGCTACTACAAAAGGCCGTTAAGAATCTTCTCGTGTTGTTTCTTCTGTCTCTCGTTCCACAGATTTTTCTGCAGTGGTCATAACATGCTAGATTTTTTGTCCTGTCATAAGGTGATCAAAACAATTATGATTGTCTTTTTCTGATATTTGTGATAAGTTGTCTCCGAGCACATCTTTCAAAAACATCTTGTTTGCCCTTCTTACCTGTCTAAGAAATTCTAAGATTCTTCTGTAAAACCACATTTCCGATGCCTCAAGATGTTGTTCAACTTGTTTATTAATTGCCTAGGCTTCACAGCCAATGTTAAAACTGGCTCTATATGGCATGCGAGAATTCTTTTCCTAACCTCCAATGTCATGGATCTATTGCATAAAATGTTTTTACATTTTCAACAGGCAGATTGGGCTTGTCCTATTTTGTTGTTTATCTCTGTGATACACAGTCCATCTGATGTTATCCATGTGCCGAAAACTTCAATTTCTGTACTCTTCCAAAATAAAACATTTGATTTCTTTTTAAATTTACGTAATATTCTTTTCTTGCAAATCACTATTACTTCTGTCTTTCCATTATTTAAACTGAGGCCCATTTTACCACTTTCTACCACCAGTGTATCTATCAATTCCTGTAGTTCTTGTTTTGACTTGTCGCTATCAAGGCAGTGTCATCAGCATAACGCAGGTTGTTTATGTTATCACCACCTACCAATATTTCTGCCATATCCGTGATTGATCTCATTGTGTGTTCACTGTGCAATGAAAACAAATTATGTGGTAATACACATCCTTGTAGTTCTCTCCTCTTTATACTTTGAAATGTTCCCAAATTCTTATTGACTCTTGAAGCTGCTGTTTAAAATTTGAGGTTTGAACCACGAGTCATAGTAACCCATACGTGCACCGGCAAGGATCCTGAAATACAGTGTCATTTAACAAATTTGTTTTTATTGTGTACCTACCTTTATAAATATCATTTAACAATTGTGTTATTATTGTGTACCCACCATTATAAATGTAATGTATCAATTGTGTTATTATTGTGTACCCACCATTATAAATGTAATGTAACAATTGTGGTATTATTGTGTACCCACCATTATAAATGTAATGTAACAATTGTGTTATTATTGTGTACCCACCATTTTGAATGTCATTTAACAATTGTGTTATTATTGTGTACCCACCATTATAAATGTAATGTAACAATTGTGTTATTATTGTGTACCCACCATTATAAATGTAATGTAACAATTGTGTTATTATTGTGTACCCACCATTATAAATGTAATGTAACAATTGTGTTATTATTGTGTACCCACCATTATAAATGTAATGTAACAATTGTGTTATTATTGTGTACCCACCATTATAAATGTAATGTAACAATTGTGTTATTATTGTGTACCCACCATTATAAATGTAATGTAACAATTGTGTTATTATTGTGTACCCACTATTTTGAATGTCATTTAACAATTGTGTTATTATTGTGTACCCACCATTATAAATGTAATGTAACAATTGTGTTATTATTGTGAACCCACCATTATAAATGTAATGTAACAATTGTGTTATTATTGTGTACCCACCATTTTGAATGTCATTTAACAATTGGGTTATTATTTCAATTCCAAGAGAGCCCAAAGCTTTAATGTCTTCCAATGTGATGTAATCTGGCCCAGGTGCATTTCCCTTCTTCTTGTGACGCAATGCACCCTCAGCTTCTGAAGCCAGCATTGGTGGACCTTCACTGTTGTCCTGCAAATATACTTAGCCTCACGTCTTAACATTGTTGTCTATCGAGCAATAACGGCAGAAGTGGAAACTGACGATGATGGCCTAAATGCTTTTACTACATAACCTATTGAGGCTCTCAAAGGAAAGTTTTTGGCAGTGAATAAATTGGGACCGATATTCGGAAGAGTGCCGCCAGTTTTCTTTAGTGACTTCGCATTTGTTCATTATGTCTTTATGTATATTGGAATATTCTACTTTATCATTCTTTTTCTTTCTTCTATCATCCATTATCTGCAGAATTTCATTTGTCATCCATTTCCTTTTTGCACCTGTATGTGTTGGAGGAATAAGCTCTTTTGATATCTGCTGAATTGACTCGCGCAGCATATCCCATTGTTCGTCAATAGTTTGTATTATTTCCATGGCGTTATATCTGTTTCGCACAGCGACATAGTACTGTTCCTTTATTTCTTTATCCTGTTTAAGTGTTCATAAATCCAGCTTGTTGTTCTGTGGGTTCTTCCTAATAGTATTCAGTTTTATTATAAACTGTCCTATAACTGGAACATGATCGCTGTAGCAGTCTGCTCCTGGTCTAGCCTTTGCTCCCATTAAACTGATCTTGACTATGTATAAAATCAGTATAAAATTATTATGATTACGAATGTTATCCCCAGGACTTTTCTTAGTCCACAATCGACGAGGATAGTGTTTCAACTATGTATTACCGATTGTCATTTTATGTGAATCTGCTCAAGCTTTTAATTTGTCACCTCTCTCCTTCTGTCCTCAGAAGCCATGGCCACCAGTTACTCCAAACACTTTTTCACTTCCAAAGTTTGCATTGAAATCGCTCATTATTATTGTTACTCCAGAACTACTGCACTGATCAAAAGCAGTGTCTAAATCATTATACAATTCATCATTGTCATCTTCTGAGCTTTCAGCAGTTGGTGCATACACGTGTTTTAAATTTATATCGAGTGGTAGCTCTCTCTCTCTCTCTCTGTCTGTCTCTGTCTGTCTCTGTCTGTCTCTCTCTCTCTCTCTCTCCCTCTCTCTCTCTCTCTCTCTCTCTCTCTCTCTCTCTCTCTCTCTCTCTCTCTCTCTCTCGTTATAACGGTCTGACAACATGGATATGTGTTTGTTAGAACTCATTACAATTATACGAGACAAGAGGTTTGGGATTCGCATGACTACTCACTACTAACCGTATGGACTATAAGAAGAAGGTTATACGAATTCAAAGTGGCAAATGGCCTCGGAAAACATCCGTTTAATTACACACTCCCCCAGTTTAGTTTTTAACCCGACGTTTATATTCCCGTCTCATCTTCTATCATTTTCACCGAAGATTGTTATGTTCTGGGTTCTAAGTTTTTCAACAGTTGCTATTCTTCTTATCTGTCAGATTTTGAGAACTGTGTTTACCTTACCAAGAGATACAACTACAACTGGAACAATCAAGTCTGCTCTTATAAAATCCCGTTCGCTTGCGAAAGAAGGTGAATTGTGTGACATGCTTGTGTATATGTAATGTAAAGCGGACATTACTTTTGGTCTTTTGAAATTATTACATTTGCACGGTTTTGCTACAGTGAGCCCATTTAGTTATATGATTCCACTAACTACAAACGGCTGCTTACATTTGACATCCAAAGTAATTGGTTTCTTGTCTTCTATAAGTCCTGCTATCTTAATCTGAACATTATGTGTTGCTTTGTCTCCGTCATTAGGTTAACAAAATGATGGCTCATTTTTCTGGCTTTTCATAGCAAGATTGCTGTCTTATGTTTATGAATTGGTTGAAAGATTCTGGCTTTTTCTAGTGCTCTTCTGTCTTTATATCACTAGATAATGGTGTCTTGCGCTAAACACGTTTCAATAATGTAATTAGTTTATCGTCTCCGGCTAAGTCGATGCGAACGCTTCGTAATACCGGGGTACCGGGTTCGATCCCAGCTGCGGGCCATACAACTTGCGTTGGTTTCGACAGTGGTATCAGGGAGCCGACCGTCCAGGATTTCAATGGCAAACTACTGGACGTAAATTTACCTAGTGAAACCACACAACAGCCAGGGGCTGATGGGGGTTGGTTCTGCAACGTCCTGTAGAGGATACGCAACTAACCTCCCAGTCAATGAACATTGCTTGTCATAGAAAGGCATACATGGAATCATGGACAGTGTAATTACACGCTCCTCAGTTTTATTTGCGACAAGAGGTACTTAGAGCTACTATAAGCAAATATTCTCAAAACATTTTATGCAAAAAATCTATGTCATTGGAAGTTAGAAAGAGAATTCTCGCATGCTATATTAGGGCAGTTTGAAGATACGGCAGTGAAGCCTGGACAGTTAATAAATAGGCCGAACAATGTCTTGAAACTTTGGTGGTTTTACAGAATGGCTGGTTGGCACCTTTCCGTCTTTCCAGACGATAGTGTTATATTGCGCTATGAAGACGCATGCGACTCACAGCCCATAGCGATGGCGAGTGTGACTAGCAAGACCCACCCGTGTCAAGAAAAGTCTTCCACAATGATGGTATGGGATTTCAGGATCATTGTTGCCAACATTTGTGTTTAATCCGTTTCTTTTCAGACGCTCAGCTCTCATCCTTTCTGCAATCATTTTTTCCTTCACTCTCATTTCCTTCCTTAAATGCCCCTTTCACACAACACAGTCCATGAAATTTTGTTCCCATAAGTCCGCCTCAATACCTGTATCATTCGTGTCCCGCTTGCACACATCTTTATATCGTAGTAGAGGTCGGCCTTGACATCTTCTTCCTGTCTTAATTCACCATAAAGGATGTCCTTAGGGACTCTGCCATCCTCCATTCTCCAGGTGTGACCCAGCCACCTGAGCCTTTGTAGATTGAGCATGGAAAAGACTGTTGTAGTGCCTGCTCTTTCCAATACCTCAGTGTTTGTGATTTTGTCCTGCCATTTAATGCCAAGTATTCTTCTCAGGCATCGCATGTGAAAGCTATTTAGCCATCTCTCCTGGAGCAAATAGGTTGACCAAGTTTCACTGCCATAAAACAGAGTGCTGAGGACACAAACCTGATAGACAAGTGGTTTTGTTTTAATTGTGAGCTTTCATTTCTCCAAAACTCTCTTTGTCAATCTGCTCATTGTTGTTGCTGCCTTAACTATCCTGATGTCGATTTCTTGGTCCAGTGATAATTTACTATTCACTGTGGAACCCAGATAGGTGAAATTGTCTACTGTCTCAAGCTATTCACCGTCAATGTATACTATAGGTCAGTCTTTACCACCTTGCACCATAACCTTTGTCTTCTTTTTGCTGACTGTTAATCCAAATTCACAGCACGCATCAGCAAAGGCAGACAGTAAATATTGCAGCTCCTTCTCTGAGTGGATGGTTATTGCTGCAACATCTGCAAACAGCAGCTCTCTGATAAGTAACTTTCTTATCCTGGTCTTGGTCTTCAGTCTGCGAGCATTGAAAAAGCTGCCGTCAGATTGAGAATAAAAGAATATACCACCCTCCTGATATCGAAAGGCATGTGTCAAAAGAAGTGAAAAGTATATTGCAAAGAGGGTAGGAGCAAGTATACACCCCTGCTTCACTCAATTTTTGATTACAAACTCATCTAATGTTAAACCATCACAGTTGATTGTACCTTTCATACCTGTGTGGAACAACTCAATAATACTCAGTAAGGTAGGTGGACAACCAATCTTCTTCAGTGTGTTGAACAGACTTTTTCGACTAACCAAATCAAATGCCTTGCTAAGATCAATAAAAGCAACATGCAGTGGTTTATTTTGTTCGCGGCTTTTTTCTTGCAACTGTCGTAATGAAAATATTATATCAGTGGTAGATCGGTTCCCACGAAAGCCACACTGGGACTCTGGGTAAACGCGATCCCTCAGGATCTGGAGTCTTCGCAGAACATTTCTTGCAAGCACTTTTCCAACAGCACACAGCAGGGATATTCCCCTGTAGTTATTGCAGTCACTCTAATCACCCCTGTTCTTGAACATAGTTATGATGCTTGCGGCTTTGAAGTCTTGTGGAACCTGTCCCTCTCGTCAGCAGAGTGTTATTTGCTGATGGATGTGCGATGTTATAATGTCTTCCCCACTCCTGATGATTTTAATAGGAATTCTCTGCCTGGGGGCTTTTCCTGAAGTCAATTCATCAATAGCATTCCCAACTTCTACAACTGTTGAAAATGTGTCCAGATAGTCAATAGTTGGTAGCGTCTCCATGGCATTAAGAGCACCATCTGTTAGGTTAGTATCAACTGAGTAAAGCTCCAGATAATGTTCCACTCATCTATCTAGATGCTTCTTCTTGTCATTAATAATCTCCCCATTCAAATTCTTTGGTGGTGCTCTTTTTTATATAGTAGGACGGATGGCCTTCTTTTTCCCCTCATACATGCCTCTAACATTAACACTACTGCTAGCATTTTGAATCCTGTCACATAACTGGATCCAGTAGGTGTTGGCACACTGCCTAGCTACCTTTTGCAAATGATTTCTAGCTGCTCTTAATTCAATTAGATTGTTCCTTGTTGTTCTTTCCTTGTTTCTGAGAAGTATTGACTTTTTTGCTGTCAGTTAAAGGCTGGAGTGTCTGGCTATTTGCTTCAAACCAGTCCTTACTTCTATTTCCTCTAATCCCATAGACTGATACAGCTGTTTTGTTAACAGTCTCCATAGTTCCATCCCATTTTAGGCTTGCTGTAGAGTTATCCCGGATATCAGTGAAAGCATCTTCAAGCTGTTGTTAAAACTCTAAACACTTTTCAGGGTCTTTAGTTTTGGCAATATTTAACCTAGGGATATATTTGTTTTTTGAACTGAAAATTCTCTTTGGTTTCATCCGAACTCTTGCGGCAACTAGGGAATGGTCAGTATCACAGTCAGCACTGTAGTAGCTGGAAGTTAGTGATACACAGTTCAAATGCTGCCTCCCTGTGAGAATAAGGTCCAGCTGGTGCCAGTGGCCAGATCTTGGATGTTTGCATGACACCTTATGATTGTCTTTAGTTTCGAAAAAAGAGTTTGTGATGCACAAGTCACTTCTAGTGCAGAATTCCGGTAGTCTCTGCCCATTTTCATTCATGTGGCCAACAATATATATTTTTCAAGACAAACTGGCCATGAGTTTGAGTCTGACCCTACGCGAGCATTAAAATCACCAAGTATATAGATGCTGTCAGATTTAGAAATTGATTTCACTGCGTTATCCAGTTCCTCATAAAAAGAATCCATTCTGTTGACGTTAGAGTGGGTGCATATGCAGTAACAAGGGTAATAAAACCGCTTGATGTAAACAATCGTAGGGATAAAATTCTGTCACATCCTCTAGTTGGAGTCTCAACTGATCCTAATAGTAAATTCTTTACTGCAAATCCCACTCCATACATCCTTATGGATATGGTTTTACAGAAGAATCCTTAGAATTACTAGGGCAGCTAGAAAGCCCGAATGTTGAGGAGAGGGCTCTAAGACACTTCTTGCAAATATCAGACAGTGAGACAGTCATCATCTGTGGCAACGCACTTGATGATGATGATGATATAAGTATTACGTACATTAGCATGTATGCATTGATGAAAATACACACGGGCGAGTGTATCTGCATGTATGTATATGTGCGTATGTGTGTGTATGTGTGTGTGTGTATGTGTGTAAAATCGCCTATGACCTCAGTCATCAACACCCATCGCAGAGTTTTTCCTGGGCAGACTTATTTCTCGTGAGGCCGCTCTGGTGTATATTAGACGCTCAACTGCAGAACGATGACCTTGACTCCCAGGTCGACTCAGCATTGAGCGGGTACCAGGTACTTCAGGGTAGTAAAAGCAGACGGCCCGATGCTAACCACATGACGCAATGAGTGCCGATAGGTCACAAGAATAAATGTCCAACGGTATCTGCTTCTAATCCGGCGTAATGCTGACCACATAACCCACCGAGTGCTGATGGTCTGTAAAAAATATGGGACGCTCTGCCCATATGCCCCATGCGCCGAAAGGCGTGTAAAGGGATCTTTACTTTTTTTTTTTAAATCTGCTTCTAATGCCTTTTCAAAATGTATTTCTAGGACACCCAGTTCCGAAGGACTAGCAGAAAGTGACTAGATACCAACTGGCAGTCCATGACAGTGACAGTAGCACCTGCTGCATACAACAACCAGTGTCAACATTCAACTCTAACATCGTTGACAAATACAGTTATTTATTGAATGTAACTTTATTTTGTTTTTCTAAGTTTGCGTGTGAGTGTGTTGCAATTAATCGGCGTCTAGAAATATAAGGTTACGAACTCAGTCAGAATTACCCATTTCCTGGTTAGATAACACTCCTTGAGATTTGACAGGAGTTGATTTTGCGTTGATTTCGACAATGGCAATGACAAACATTAATGACATTTAAGAGGCAATGACAAACGGCACTGACATTTAAAAGGCAATGACAAACGGCAATGACATTAAAAAAACAATGACAAACTCATCGTCGTCATCATCACCACCAGTGCTATGCCGACTGCTGTGGGCGATCATGTCTCTCCACAATCTGCGATCGCCAACAGCATATCTCCGTCCGTGTGCTGACACCTCTCCATGCCATCAGCCGTCCGTGTGCTGACACCTCTCCATGCCATCAGCCGTCCGTGTGCTGACACCTCTCCATGACATCAGCCGTCCGTGTGCTGACACCTCTCCATGCCATCAGAAAGCTCTCAACAATCTTCCGTCATTATCTCCCTCTACAGATCTATCCAGTGCTCTATCATGTTCAAGTTTCTTTTTTTCTCACAAATGGCCAAAGATAGGACTATGTCTGAAGATTGTGAGACGCTGTCTTCGAGATCCCGCCTCTTTCAAAACCAAAGATTGGACTGTGTCTGAGGAATGTGAAACGCTGTCTTCGAGATCCCGCCTCTTTCAAAACCAAAGATAGGACTGTGTCTGAAGATTGTGAAACACTGTCTTCGAGATCCCGCCTCTTTCAAAACCAAAGATAGGACTGTGTCTGAAGATTGTGAAACGCTGTCTTCGGGATCCCGCCTCTTTCAAAACCAAAGATTGGACTATGTCCGAAGATTAGGTGACGCTGTCTTCGAGATCCCGTCTCTTTCAAAACCAAAGATAGGACTGTGTCTGAAGATTGTGAGACGCTGTCTTCGAGATCCCGCCTCTTTCAAAACCAAAGATTGGACTATGTCCGAAGATTAGGTGACGCTGTCTTCGAGATCCCGCCTCTTTCAAAACCAAAGATAGGACTATTTTTGAAGACTGTGAGACGCTGTCTTCGAGATCCCGCCTCTTTCAAAACCAAAGATAGGATTATGTCTGAAGATTAGGTGACGCTGTCTTCGAGATCCCGCCTCTTTCAAAACCAAAGATTGGACTATGTCTGAAGATTGTGAGACGCTGTTTTGGAGATCCCGTCTCTTTCAAAACCAAAGATTGGACTATGTCTGAAGATTGTGAGACGCTGTCTTCGAGATCTTTTTTTTTTTTTTTTTTTTTGTGAGTGTGTGTGTGTGTTTTGTGTGGGTTTTTACGGTGTGTGTGTGTGTGTGTTATTTTTTGGTGTGTTTGTGTGTGTGGGTTAATTTTGTTGTTGTTGGTGTGTGTGTGTTTTTTTATTTGTGCGTGTGTGGTTTTTTTTTCTTGATTTTTGGTGTTTGTGTGTGTTTTGTTTTGTTTTTGGTTTTTGGTGTGTGTGTGTTTTATTGTTTTTTTTTTTTTGGTGTGTGTGTGTTTTGTTTGTTTTGTGTGTGTGTGTGTTCGTGTGTGTGTGTGGTTTTTTTTCTATCTTGGTGTGTGTGTGTTTGTTTTGTTTAGGTTTTTTAGTGTGTGTGTGTTTTTATGGTGTGTGTGGGGTTTTTTTTTGGTGTGTGTGTGTGTGGGGACCTTTTTCCGTTTTTGTTTTTTGATGTGTGTGTGTTGGGCGGGGGGGGGAGGGGGGGTTCAAATTATGAAGGGGATGTCTTGGGTGGGGCACACATTGAGAAAACCTGAAAACAGGATATCTTTAACTTGAATGACTTTGCACCGGAGCCCACAGGGGCATAGAAATAGATGCAGTTTGAAAATACACAGAGATGGGAGCTTGCGAGTGAAGGTGAAAGGACGGATAGGAAATATGGTTGGCTGCATGCAATCAGACGACTTGGCTTAGACTGGTTAAGGGCCTATGTTCCACTGGGGGGATCAAGTGTCGAAAAAGAAGATGTGTATTAGTCCCGGAATAGTACACAATATCTTCCGGAGATTATAAATAAGTTCTTCTGTACAATTAGAATACAGGACGGCAGCTACAGGTTGTTTGAATCTTTGTTGATATCATGGGAGTTTACTTCAGTCGGCGACAAAAACCATCACTAAATGCACAAGTCGGGGGTGACCTTGCCAACCATGTAGCCTCAAAGCCTTAGAAACAACACCAACACACCCCCTACCCCATTCATACCCCTCCTCCATTTCCACACACCCCTACCCCATTCATACCCCTCAACCTTTTCCACACACCCCTACCCCATTCATACCCCTCCTCCATTTCCTTACACCCCTACCCCATTCATACCCCTACTCCTTTTCCACACACCAACCTCATACCCCCTGGCTAGCCTTGTGGACAAAGACGTAACTATGACAGCAAAGCGATTGCGTGACATTGGAATATAATGTGGTGAAGCGCGGCTTAGCCTCCCTCAGCCCCACGGTAGGAGACATAATACTCAGCTTCTCATAGGCAGAGTTAGTAGAATTACCTTGCAGTGGCTGCTGCATGGGAGGAATGAGCACGCATGGGATGCTCAGTCTGCGTCCACGCCGACCGCCCTACAAGTGATCAATACAGATAACTTGGTAAAATGTATGGCTCTTTTACGGCAGCCACGGGGTTGAATCCTGAAAAATCTGATGAAGTTTTTGCTTTTATTTTTTCTGTCTGGGACAAAACAACCACCTCACCTGCACCAGGTCATGGTGGCTGCAGCAGTAAAGTGGCCCTAAATCTTCAGGCTTACACTCCAGTGTCACACCAGACCAGACAGACTGTAAATGCAGGGAGATAAACAAACCATTAAAAAAAAACAGATAATCGTTAAATATTGTTTGCAAAATCCTGCTATATAATGAAGACAATCCGGCAATAAACCGGCAGTTGTAAAATCGAACTGATTCTCTTTTTACAGGACGTTGCAGAACCAACCCCAGCAATCTGTTTTTAAAGCTCTCTTGGTTTTTTTAGCCACGTTTTTTGTTCAGTAGTTTCCCATTGCCTACTAAATGGTCAGCTGTCCGTGCTACAGTCGAAACCAATTTTACATCACAATTGTCACCCCCTTGTGGGATGCATTTTTTCATTTTTTTATTTTTAATTTTTGAAGCCCCCACCTTGGCATTTTCCAGGGGCCGCAATATAGCCCGGCCATAAATATGGTCTAATGGCTGAACGCGGCTTCCGGGACGTCTCCACATGTGATCCTCATCCGCATGGTGGCACTTTGTGTCACTGGGTGTTTATCGGATTAATGATGTCCTAGTGGGGTATAATCTACTACGAAACCAACGCAAGACAAACCGTCCGCATCTGCGACCGAACACTGCACTCTGCTTTACGAAGCCGTTCGGGACGTCTAAGATCCAGACGCAGACAAAGTGAAGGGCCTTTTTTGTACGCCTTTATGCATAGCATAGGTAAAGTGGAGGTCCCTATACATAGCTTGCGTAATATAAGGCTAGATTCATATTTGAATAGACCACTCGTTGGGTGATGTGGTCAGTACTCTGATTATATGCAATCGTATTACGTCAGAGATTCGTCATCATCTGCCAGTCTCGGTCATTTAGCATTGATGACTTCTAGTCGGTCCTTGCATCTTCTCGTAGTGCAGTGGAGCAATACCAGTAGGACTGGCACTTTTAACCGCGCGACGCTGATGAATACGTTGAGAGGGGAATCTGAGCGTTTATGAATGTGTCCGGAGTGGTGTGAAGATAATCTAACTCATAACTCATCTCACTACCTGCTGTTCGTTACTGCTTACTCCTACATACCCAACTGTATAGATTGAGGTGAGGGATCTAATTAACTTGACGCTTGCATTTTGTATAGGCGTGTCCAGTCAACATCATTCTGTGTCCAGAGCTGTCTTTCAGACGATGATCTAATGGGAGACGTAGTCAACTGTGCGTTATTCGCATTTTCTTCATATGACATTATCGGGTGCTCATTGTAGGCTGTGAAACTTGTCAGGTGTTTACTATTTTTTTTTTTAAATTCACCAGTAACCATTTGCCGTATCTTACAAAACAGAAAAGGACCAGGGTTGGATAGAAAGTCAACACGCTCATCAACACAAAAAAATAACAGCTTGAAATAACGTAATAATTAGAATTACATACAATAAATTAGTGAATGAACAGATTAATAAATAAAATTGCACTTATTTATATCGCTGTACAATAGCAATAAAAGTGGCCTTTAACGAAGCAATGAAAGTTGCCTTCAGCAAACAATTACATAACAGTTCTAGTGGCTTTATTATATCCATTACCTTCTGAATTACGATAAATACTTAAAAGGCATTAAGTAATGACAGGGATATAAATATTGTAGATTCAGATTGAGGCAAAGACTTTCAAGTGACAGAAACCAGCTTTCTGTCATCTGAACATCTGCATCACTACCTGCACGATTTCACAGACAATGGTAGGTCTTCATATTTTCTTCATTAGTACATTCCTTCCTATCACATGTGCCCCAGAGCTTCAACTGGCCAGACTAACATGTAAATTTTTCTTGGAGAGACCACAGTTAAGGGATTTCGTGTATTCTTGTGTGTAAATCTAACATTGTTTATTTATAGCTTTCGAATGCTTTCTAGCCGTAACGTTCAGTTACCGTTTCTGTTTGCGATAATGTAAAGCTGACTAGTTTTAAATTCGTTGGGTTTGATATCTTTCCATGGTGTTATTTCCTTGTGCAAAAGGTAATAGGTCAGTAGCGAATTTTCTGTGGAAGTGGTTTTGGTTCTGCGTCTGCGTTCAGTAGTTTGCCATTGCTTTTTAAAAGGTTAGAAGCTCAGACAATTGTTTAAAAAAATGCAAACCGGCCAGTTGGCAAATAGCCCTCAGAGGCATGAAAATCGGTATTTTGGAATTATGAAACTGAGTTCAAGAATATTAGAACACTGATTCTGTTATAAAACAAGTGCCGTGACTAATTTCTAGAATTTAAGACAGTCTCTCCCTCCCTCTCTCTCTCTCTCTCTCTCTCTCTCTCTCTATCCCTCTCTCTCTCTCTCTCTCTCTCTCTCTCTCTCTCTCTATCTATCTATCTATATATCTATCTCCAACACACACACACACACACACAAATTATGTAACACACAATAAGATATGATGCTCCAGTGAGGTAATGGAAAACAGCGCATAAGTACAACAGAACGTTTCGACTAAAGTCTTTATCAACGAAGTACTTAATAAAACACAAGACTGTGACTGGAACACAACGGACAAGACAACAGAGCATAAAACCAAGAAATACATAATAGGAAAAAGAGGAAAAGCAGTATTATGTTATGAAGAATAGGTGCTTTGTTTCCACGATGGTAATTAAAATATTTCGAGATGGGACAGCAATTTCTTCCACAATGCGACTCACATACAACTGTCTAAAAGTCACGATAACGCATAACGTTGTGTGTGTGTGTGTGCGCGCGCGCGTGTATGTGTGCGTGTGCGTATGGGTGTGTGTGTGCGTGCGTGTGTGTCTGTGTATGTGTATGTGTGTGTGTTCAAACCTTCCACTGCGGGAATCGAAAATCGGTATATGTCGAGGACCGCACTGTGAACCATTTCACCAAATAGCAAAACCACATTTAATTATTTATTTTGTGAAAGTGTCGATTCATACTGTTAACTGTATTTCCTCCCTTAGCTGAGACTGCTTCTAGTCCTGGTGCTGACTGCAACGTCGGGTACGTCCTGTCGTTCTTTTAGCTTCTCTGTTGTTATTTTGTTGTTGTTTTTTAATTACGTATTTTTATTACCCAGCTTTAAATGTGTACCAGGTACAAAGTCGTGGGAAGTAAAGGTCACCGGCATGACGCTGACAACCTCACCCAAAAATTGGTGCCGATTGGTCTATAAATTATCGGCCTAGCCATTTATGCCCAGTACACCTGTAGACGTTGAAAAAAGTTCCTTTATTTTATTTCAGAACGTTACCTGGGTCTGTGTTGGAGTCACGGTCAATTAAATAGAAAAACTCTGGCTCCGTCAGGACCTGCAACCACCACCTTCAGATAAGCAGGCGCCCATCTACCCACCATTGCGGCTCCTAACAATCTAATTAAGCAAGGCCAACATCAAAACCAAACTTTGCCTTAAAGGAGCAAATGTGTAAACGAAAAGCTGACGCAACAAATTTATGAAACAATGAATCAGATGATTTGTCCAAGGAAAACTGGCAAGTTTGACCCATGGCGAAAAACCATATGGCAGTAGTAGGAATTCACAACAAATGTCTTTTTGTTAGTTCCTTTGAATAATGCTGACACACACAAACCGTTGTATAATTTACTGCCAGGTGTAACGGTATGGCAGAATTAGAGGTACAACAACTGATAGATGACAGGCGCTGGGCCAGATGATGCAGTAGTGTACACCGATGGTTCTGTTCATCGGGGTGTAACATCTGGCTGGGGATTTTCATTCAGCTAGAATGAAGAGGAGCTTTTTTTCCCAGTCATGTGTGTGTGTGTGTGTGTGCGTGCGTGCGTGAGTGCGTGCGTGCGTGCGTGCGTGTGTGTGTGAGAGAGAGAGAGAGAGTGAGAGAGGATGAAAGTGGCGGCAATCAGCTAAGATAGGATTATTGTGTCTAATTCTCAGTTGGCACTGCGGAAGGTTCAAAAGTGACTAATTAGGCATGAGTTGATAGCATGCATCATTAGCCCAGCATTGCAGGAAATCACGTGGATATACTGTCCGGAATATGCAGCAGTGCGCGGCAATGAAAGAGCTGATTTTCTGGCTACCAAAGCGGTAGCTAGGAAACACTCATACTGGACAAGGAAGATATTCTCGAACACTCATACTGGACAAGAAATATATTTTGAGGACCATGAATCAGTGATTACTAAACTGTGTGCCGCAGCGCCCAGGGAAGCCGAGACCTCTTCACGTGGGTGCCGTGAAACATAGTAAAAGCTTCATAATTAATTTAACCAAGACACAAATAGTCATACTTTTACTTAGGTTAGGACACTATAAAAAAAAAATGTAATTAAAAATAAAAGCGCCGCCATCAAGAAAAGTTTGGGAAACACTGCCATATATTAAAGAATGTTGACACGAGATTGGACGAGATAACAGGTGCAAGCATACGTGAACGAGGAAGTGTGGATCTGTCAAGAAGTGACGTATGAGAGGAAAAGAACAACGTGTATAATCAGTGAGCTACGCGAACAGTTGGCATATATACCTTAAGACATTTGCTGTTGGAGAGAGGGCATCTATAGGTATGCTCTGTGTGCTATGATGTCGATTCTCAAATCAGTAATCAGTATTAAAGCTAAACCTCTAACAAAATATGGCAGCGGGTATAGCTAGTCACACTCGCCATCGACATGGGCTGCAGGTTCCATGCCACCTGAAAGCATAATATCACACTATCGTATCAAAGGTGTCAACATCCATATTTGGCAGTATCTGCTGAGTACTACCGAGTTACGCCAACATTTATTGAAGGATAGAACACAACTCGCTTGAAATGAAATATGCAGATCATATTGTCTGCGGTTGTACTGTCAACCCCAACAAAAGAAGTTCAAGATGTACCTGAAGCTCACCATGGAGTTCTGAAATTTGCTATATGATCTTTTTGTTTACACACCAGGGATTGTTCCGTCCTTTTCAGATATCCCAAAATCGTTCTCCGTTGAATATCTCAGTAAGCACAATCCCAGACAATCCTGTAAGGGTTAATAAGTACTCTGTTCTGTGATACTGTTGCAGTGCTAAGAGCAGTATACGACAGTAAACTAGGACTTCACGCGATCAGTTTGATGAAGGCCTTTTCTGTAGTAGGTGATGAAGTGCGCAAGTAGAAGAAATGTGGATATCAGGAACTATATACATCATTTCAGGAACTAACAACGATTAGCAACATTAAAGAGATGTCCTCATTCTGGTGTCCACAAGACATGAGACATTCGTATTTCTGTCCCTGGCTCTATTTCAGTTCTCGCCGGCTGCGGTCAGGGCTGGCCACAGTTTGAAGATTTCTGTTTCATCTTCAGCGAGGCATCAGCGTCGTGGCAAGATGCTTTGGTAGGTCAATGTTATTGTTGTCACTGTTTCTTGTGCTAACACCGGATTTACATTATTTAGAACATTCGCCTTCCTAACCGCTGGCTTTGTGATTACAAAAAAAAAAAAATTTTGCTAAATGTATCTAGGCTTCCAGAATTCTTCTTCTTTATCATCTTCTACAATAACCTATTTGATCCGCTAGGTGTCGCAGTTTAGCGGATGTTCGATAGCAATTCAGGGTGCCCTGGGTTGCTTAAAAGGCTGCGCTTTAGGAAAAATTGGGTTGTCCATGATTCTATAGAGTATCTCTTTACAGGTCTCATCTTGCATTTTGATGTATTTATTTTAATGTTGCACGCTTTCGTTATTTAAATGTTTTAACTGATTCTCATTAGGTGATAAAACCATTTCAATCCTTGTTTCTAAATTAACTAATAATGGGTATTATACTAATTGTTTATAAAACGTCTTTATTTTTCCCACTCTCTCTTTTCGTGGTTAGCACCAAATAGTTTTTAGTGTTCACCAGCAGCAATCTATTGTAGAAAGTTCTGGTTTTTCGTCCACTTCTGGATTTTGTACATGTTCCGCAATGTGTGTTTCGCATTCAAATCCGTTTTACAGATCTGTCTTTTTTCTCTTTCTTCTGCTCCATCGCTTTCACCAGCTGCAGCTCCCCTGCAGAGGTCTGGCTTTTCGTATACTTCGTGGTTTTACTCCCTATTTATAACCTGAGTGTTGCGTGCACATCCGTTTCACGTATATCTAACATTTTTTGTAAGCCGAGTAATGGTACCGTACCTCTCAGGCAGATGCACTTTGACTTCTAAGGAAGCAACCAGTTAGTCGACTTTTACGACATGCTTGTAACGGAGGCAGTGGGTCTACTCATGTTCTTATTGCAAGAGGCCCAGGAACCCACACAGTCAAATCTGGTTGTTTGTGTGCAGACTGTTGGTTGCTCAGATCTCTGGTATATGCATGCTTACTTCGGAAGAAACAGCTTTAATTAGTCGCTTTCTACTCGTACGACATGCTTGAAAGAGATTAAAGAGAGGAAGTGGATCTACTCAACCCCTCACCTCTCACCCAAATGGGGTCTTGCGGCCCAGTTGTTGATCTCATTTCCCAGGTGATTTCCTTATCATCGCATTCACTGTTACTAGGTATATCATTAAGAGAATTATCATTACATGTAACATCCCATCTTGTGCAATTAAAATACATAACCACTGAAATAAAAACACCATATTTACTGCAGAAATAAATAGATACATAAGTTAGTGGATGTTTTCTGGGCAGCCAATGTGGTCCGTGCGATACCGAGGACACAATAATCAATTTTAGTTATCTTTCAAAAGTGAAATCAATACCATCGACCCAAGAGCGTCTACAGTTTAAACGAGTTTTTTCATCTACAACTTTTTGTCATTGTCATCTGAATTCACTAGGAATAAAAACCTAATTAAGGAAGACAAGAGACTAAATCTTTGTTTCACAAGGCGATTTTTTTTTGTTAGAGAAGGGCAAGATTTGACCAAATAGAGTGATCTATTACGTATGTGTAACGTCTCAAAATGGATGTCAGGGCTTAGTTATCGCTTTTGTGACGAAATAGGGCTTTAAAAAGGTGATGATGTCGGCCTAATTAACCTCAATCCTATAGTAGAAGTCTTTCTCTCTCTCTCCATCTGTGTGTGTGTGTGCGTGTGTGTACGTGTGTTGTGGGTGTTTTATTGGTAGCTCAGCTTTTACTGACACATCTCTGAGATGAGAAAACCAGTCACAAAGATGTATCACAGGCAAGTGATATCTGCAGTATTGAACCCTAACAAATAAGCCAGTAAAACGGATGTACACGCAAAACTCAGGTCAAGGTAAAAGCCGAAAGTCCATTTGGACGAACAACCGCGACTTACCGCCGGAATTCACAGCCGGTGAACAAGAAGAAGAAGAAGAAGAACCCCAGTTGTTGAGAATGCTGAACAATATTACTACGCAACGGTTCAGCGTCCTCTGTGGCCTTAAAGACCATTCCCAGAGTGGCAGTCCCGGCTACATAGTCCACATACAAGAAGAAAAAGAAGAAGAAGAAGAAGAAGAAGAAGAAGAAGAAGAAGAAGAAGAAGAAGAAGAAGAAGAAGAAGAAGAAGAAGAAGAAGAAGAAGAAGAAGAAGAAGAAGAAGAAGAAGAAGAAGAAGAAGAAGAAGAAGAAGAAGAAGAAGAAGAAGAAGGAGAAGAAGAAGACCAAGAAGAAGACGAAGAAAAAAAAAGAAGAAGAAGACAGCCACGACGACGACGAAAAAAAGAAGAAGAAGAAGAAGAAGAAGAAGAAGAAGAAGAAGAAGAAGAAGAAGAAGAAGAAGAAGAAGAAGAAGAAGAAGAAGAAGAAGAAGAAGAAGAAGAAGAAGAAGAAGAAGAAAAAGAAGGTGAAAATGCCTGACTTGGAGTAAAATAGCTAACTGACTCTTATGTTATTGTTTAAATTAACAGGCTGTCTGCAATACTTACGGTGGCCGACTAGTGAATGATGACAGCTCAGAGAAACACGAGTGGATAGTTGAGCAGCTGAGAGCACAAAAGAGTAAGCCTTGCTTCCATACAGTGTCAGACACGAGTGGATAGTTGAGAAGCTTAAAGCACACAAGAGTAATCTTTGCTTCCACACAGTGTCAGACACGAGTGGAAAGTTGAGCAGCTGGAGGCACACAAGAGTAAGCTTTGCTTCCATAGAGTGTCAGAGCTTCTGAAAGCTCACAAAAGTAAGCTTTGCTTCCAAACAGTGTCAGAGCTTCTGAAAGCACACAAGAGTAAGCTTATCTTCCGTACAGTCTGAGACACGAGTGGATAGTTGAGAAGCTGAAAGCACACAAGAGTAAGCTTTGCTTCCATACAGTGTCAGAAACGAGTAGATAGTTGAGCTTCTGAAAGCACACAAGAGTAAGCTTTGCTTCCATAGAGTGTCAGAGCTTCTGAAAGCTCACAAGAGTAAGCTTTGCTTCCATACAGTGTCAGAGCTTCTGAAAGCACACAAGAGTAAGCTTATCTTCCGTACAGTCTGAGACACGAGTGGATAGTTAAGAAGCTGAAAGCACACAAGAGTAAGCTTTGCTTCCATACAGTGTCAGAAATCGTGTAGATAGTTGAGCTTCTGAAAGCACACAAGAGTAAGCTTTGCTTCTATACAGTGTCAGACACGAGTAAAAAAAAACGAATGTCACTGTTTATATACAGACCATTGTGGCTCAGGTCTTATAACGTCGGCACATCCCAAACATTTTTCTCTTGGGGGGAGGGGGGGGGGGGGTGTATGTTGTCAGGTAGCTAAGCGAACCCGTTTATCAATATACAATAATTTTATTTTAAGTATATGTTTTATATTTGTTTTTTACAATAGAAAATAGTTTTATTTACAAATAATAAGAACCAATGTCTATTCATATAATAGGAAATTGTTTGATATTTAAATAATAGGAATCAATTGCTGTTCATATAATAGGAAGTAGTTTGATCTAAAAATAAGAAGAATCAATGTCTATACTGTAAACATTCTCCTGATCGTCTCTGAATCGTGTCCTGTGTTAACAGTTTCATTTGTTACAGCGACTCTCTCCGCGTTAAGTTGTTGGCTGTTCTTTGCCTCATCAGTGCCTGTAAAGCCTTCCAAGTACACAATCTCATTATTTAAACTGAAACAGTTCTGAACATTTCTTAGGACCTATTGAATACTTCTTTTATAATAGCAGTTTTGAAATGCACAGCCATTATTCTAGATGAACCTGTATTTTATGTTCTGAATTCGTGATATCCCTTACAAGGCATATTTAATCTAAATTAAGTACATGTAAATCTTGTCATCACTATTACTCGTGTCTCAACCCAGTTGTCTCCTAATTTTAATAAAGCGATTCCTCTCAGAGACCTTTAAACTATGTGTTTATATTACATAAATCAGGTCGTAGATTAAATGTAGCTACAAAAGACACTCTAAAGGTTTACTTACAAATAGAGTCATTTACTTTCATGTGGAAAACAAAACTTTTTTTTTTTTTAACTTTGATTCAACTTTATAAAGTCAGCATTATCTGTCTTTCTTTGCTCACATGTTTATTGCGTTATAATCCAAAACATCTGTCTTATGTTTCAACAGAAGATGAATTCTAACTATCGAACTCAATTAGTTGTTTGGGATAGCGCTTATATTACGAGCATACTGTAACATCATGCTAGGATCTATTGTTAAGATACCTATATTATTTTGTTTTTAAAATAATCGATGAAACGCAGTAACGCGGTGTGTTGGTTTCAGTGACCAAAGCCTGGATAGGCGGATCTAAAAGCAGTTCTGGAGTTTGGCAGTGGGTGCCAGGGGAGGAACCGCTGAGTTTCACTAACTGGGCACCAGGAGAGCCCAATTACGGTAATTGTGGTCCGGTATTTGTATCTCTTCTGCTGTCTTTTGTCTCTGCCCCTAGTGATACATGATGTCTGGTGTATTTGTCTTGTGCGTATGGTGCCCTATTTTGGGCGTGGGGGGGGGGGGGGGACAGACTAGACCCACTGCCCACCATACATGCATGTCGTAAAAAACAGCTAACTAAGGGTGAATCCCTTGAAGTCTGAAAGCATCTGCCTGAGAGGCAAGGAACTAACAGGCCGCATACACATAAGCCATTTGTCGAACGGCAGTACACGCACAAGTCAAGTTCTAGAACAAAACGAAAATGCAGAAATGGACACAAAACTAAAGCCTCCCATAGCAGTTTACAGCCGGTGAATGTCAAATAGAAGACGCGGTAGTCTCTAGTCTTTAGACGTTATAGCGTGTGAGTTTTTTGTTTGTTTGTTTCTTCTTTGTGATGATTTCTTTTACTTTATGTTGATTTGTTAATTCTTTGTGTTGATTTCTGTGTCTTTATGTAGATTTCTAAAATCTGTATGTTGATTTCTGCTTCCTTATGTTGATTTTTGCTTTTTTATGTAGATCACTGAATTGTTTATGATGATTTCGTCTTGTTTGTGCAGATTCCTGCTTATTTATTTTGATTTCTAAATTTGTTATGTTGATTAATGCTTCTTTTTGTTGATTTCTGCTTCTTTGTGTTTAGTTCTGCTTCTTTATGTTAATTTTTGCTTCTTTGTGTAGATTTCTGAATTGTTTATGTCGATTTCTACTTCTTTATGCTGATTTTTGCTTCTTTATGTTGATTTCTGCTTCTTGGGGTTTATGCTTCTTTAGGTGCCATTCTGCTTCTTTATGTTGATTTCTGCTCCTTTGTTTTGATTTCTGCTCTTTAGGTGGCTTTCTGCTTTTTTATGTTGATTTCTGTTTCTTTATTTTGATTTCTGATTTTTTATGCAATATTTTTGTTCAAAGCTCCACCCTGGATTTTGCCAGTGGCCCTAAATATGACCATAACGGCTGAAAGGGGTTTCTGGGACCTCTCCACGGGTGATCATCATCCGCATGGTGGTACTTTGTGTTACCGGGTGTTTATCGCTTGTGTAATGTGTTGGTGGGGTACACCTACCTACCGGTGTGTTGTCTATCAAGATGATGATGACCACTCGTTTTCATCAAGTGTGAGTAGGAAGATGACTGATGAGGCTATTGCCGGCCCGAAAAGCTCTTTGACGGTGAATACAGAGAATGAGAGTTGTGCCAGGAAGGGGGTCTCCTGCAGTCGCCTTTTTGACCATCCTTTTCTTAATCAGTCTTGCTGTTCTGTTTGCTTCACATGTAGCCCCTCTCTTGTGTAGAAATGCTTTGAGTGAAGACTTCAAGGTGTCCTTAAAGCGTTTCTTTTGCCCGCCTTGGGAACGTGTCCCATTTTGCAGCTCACCATAGAAGAGTTTTTTTTGGGGGGGGAGCCTGTGATCTGGCATGCGTGTCACATGACCAGCTCAACAAATCCGATACTGCAGCAGTAGACTTTCAATGCTGGGTATGGCTGCTTTCTCCAGGACTACGGTATCAGGTACTTTGTCTTGCCATCTGATCTGTATTAACTTTCTAAGGCCTATTGTGTGAAAGTGGTTGAACTTTCTGACCTGGCGCTGGTCTACAGTCCATATTTCACATGCTTACATCAGCGTAGTTAATACACTTTTGTACAATCTACTAAAGGCAACGCTTGCCCTAGAGATCCTTGCATTTACTTCGTCATCAATTGTGGCGCTCTGTGAAAGAGTGCTGCCTTAAGTAAATTTCCTGACAACGTGTAATCTGTGGCCATTCACTGTGATATTGGGCTCGATGTATCTTTACCCTGGGGCTGGTTGGTGCCTGGCTACAGTTTTATGTTTGTTGATGGTGAGCCCAAAGTTTGTACAGGCATTACTGAATGTGTCGATGTTGTGCTGCATATCCGCTCCTGTGTTGGCATAAAGGGCACAATCGTCGGCAAACAGGAACTCCCTGATGGTGTCTGATTTCGTTTTACTTTTTGCTTTCAACCTCCTGAGGGTGAACAGCTTTCATTCCTTGTGATAATTTATGTTGATTCCAGTGTGATCATTTACAAAGGCATCAGTCCTACATACCTATATTGTTGCACCAAAAACAAAAATAATACGAAGAGAAAGAGAGAGAGAGAGAGAGAGAGAGAGAGAGAGAGAGAGAGAGTCAGATACAGGCCTGAAAAGTACATGCTGATTTCGTGAAGTTAGTTGCGTATCCTTTACAGGACATTGCATGTTTTATCTGCTGTTGTTTTTCTAGGCAGATTTACGTCCGACACCTGCTGTGTACCTCGTGAAACTCACAGATCGTATAAGCAGAACAAAAAAAATAAGTTGTAGATAAAAGATATAAAGAACTCGTAATAGTCTGTTCTGCCGATCTTAAGCTGACTGGCTAATTACAGTTTTGTTTTGCTCATGTTTTTATTGTGTACTTTATTGATCTCAGAAAAACCGTTTTGTGCACCACCAATAGTTGGTGGAGAAACAAACATCACCGGAAGATACTGTTATGTATACAAATGGCATTGTGATTCGTCAGAAGTGAAGTGCACGGGCTTTCACGGCAAGAACTAAAGGAAAAGCCATATACGAGGACAGTGGAGTCTTTGCTTCCACCAACAGTAGCATGAGAATAGATAACATGGCCATGACAAAGGCCCTAGAATAGCTAAAAACTCAGGAATTCACCAAGGTATGCTTTCTCGGCGACTCAATGAGCGTGCTATTGAAGACCAAGGCCAGGCACATACGGAAGCAGTGGCTCCATCTGATACAGCACACAGCGTTTCGCAAAATCACCTTAATTTTTTCCCCAGGGTATATTCACGTGAAAGGCAATGAGAGAGCAGACTTTCTAGCTGACAGTGCGACTATCGGGAATGGGCCATTTATGGACAGGAAAAACATCATTAATGCCATACAAGAGACTGAACGCTGTGAGGCTACGGTTTCGTAGAAAAAAATGATTTATCACTGAAAAGACTGCATACCCTGGGTGTACCAGTTGGAGCGGCGAGACAAGAAAACTATGCGCGAGCCACCCGTCGTTACATCAACCAGAACAGAATGGGAGTTGTTGGCCTCAAAACACTTAGAGACATACCCAGGCGAAGATCGGACCACTTACGGTCCTGGCCGATGTGGGATGAAGATCCTCTGTATACGAACAATAAAAAATGAGCTATCAGGAAAATGGTATTCATAATCACTGCAACGTTGAAAGATCGTCATTTGTCGATATAATTTGAAATATAGTAATGTTTATCGGAGTCCCCCAAAAAATAGTTCTTAGCACGGCTTACTGCGAACATGAAATGTTCGATGTATATCTTTTGTCGGAATTTGGCTTAGGTTTTGCGATCGCGCTTCGTTAATCCCCGTACCGGGTTCGATTTCAGCTGCAAGCAATTTGGCAGCAGACCGCCTTGCGTTAGTTTCGACAAAAGTATCGAGAGCCAACCCTTTAGTAAGTAATGACGAACTATTGAAACTACGTTTGCTTAGATAAACCGCAACAGCAAAACAAATTAGGAGAAAACGTGTTTATTTACCAACATCTTGTAAGGTGTTTTAATTTATTTATTTATTTCATTTTATTGGGGTTTTTTTTTTTTAATCTTCACAAGATTTTAGAAACTGCCTCAACATCTGTTGTTTGTTTGTAGTTTGACTATGTATTATGTCGTCCATTAGTTTGCTGTAAACTGACTATAAACCAGATACTCATATTGTCTGTGAAGTCTTGTGATTATTTCATTCCCTACTATGTTTTATTTCTTCATTTTGTTAAAATCTGCTTGTGCCGCTAGGCGTCGCAGTCCATCAGATGATCGGCAACCGAGCCAGGGCGCGCTCAGTCGCTTCAAAAGACTGGATGTTATGAAGTCTCAAGTTGTCCGTGACTCCTTCAATCCATCTTCTTCTTGGTCTTCCCCTGCCTCTTTGTGTTTCGATTTTCATGGTGTATGCTCTTGATGCTGGCATCGTTGGTTCCATTCTCATTAGGTGACCAAACCATTTTTTTCTTTGCTTCTCAATAAATTTGACGATGGGTATGGTTCCAATTTCTTGTAATCACATCGTTTCTCACTCGATCTCTTCTGGTTTTATTCGCAGCCATTCTCAAACATCTCATTTCACAGGTGGTTAGTCTTCTCTCGTGTTCTTTTGTTAATGTCCAAGTCTGACATTGATAACCTAATGTCGGTATAAAGATTGTGTTTATAATTTGTCTTTTTATCTCAGCTGGGACAGCAGGGTGTTTTAAAATTGGGGCAAGCTGGTATGCGACATTGTTGGCTTGGATGTTTTATTTACTGACGACTATTAACATGGGTTCAACAATCAAGGCAGGCGATTAAAACTATAACATGGAAAGGAAACAAAAAACAACTACCAAAGATTTTTGATTGAATGATAAACGAAAAGGTTGTTATAATAGGATTATAAGACTGTTGGAAAAAGGCAGCATGACCAGAGATATACATAACATCTAAGTTATCCCTTAGAACCGCCTCAAATCAACAACAACAACAGAAAGCTAATCATGGAGTGGGTTTTATTCTTCACTCTGATAAAGCTAAACATACAAAGACAGTGGAATATGTTTCTGGAATGATATCAGTGCTTCAGTTCAAACGGAAAACAAGAAATGTCACCAACGAGGGCGACACTCGTGAAGACAGATAGATACTTCTACTCGGTGGCTGAAGTCATCACCCGTGTGACAGTTAACGAAGATGTCATGGTAGTGGGTGACCATTCAGCCACTGACATAAAGGGCGACTAGAACGGGCACAATATTCTAGACTGTGTACAAAGCTGGACTAATGCTACACGAAAAAAAAAAAACATCACCAGAACCAGACATTCACAAGCTTTAAATGGAAAAGTATAGATGAGGCTACACGAAAAAAAAAACATCACCAAAACCAGACATACACAAGCTATAAATGT